ACTCTCTTTTTTTTTTTTTTTTTGCTAATTTTACTGGGAAAGAGTTGCCTCAGTTGAGTCAACATTGGAATTTCATGACGGTCTTGCTCTCAAGTGTTCTTTGCTTCATGTACCAAGTTTCTGCCACGCTCCTGGTTTGTGTATCAGATTTTTCATGCTGCCTTGTTTCATGGATTCTTGTGCCTATTTCATGGATTTTTATACCTCTGGATTTTGGTTTGCCTTGAAGTTAACTAACCTTTGTTTTGGAACTTTACTTTTTTTGCTAATTTTACTGGGAAAGAGTTGCCTCAGTTGAGTCAACGTTGGAATTTCATGACTGTCTCACTCTCAAGTTTTTTTAGTTTCATGTGCCAAGTTTTTGCCAAGCTCCTGGTTTGTGTATCGGATTTTTCATGTTGCCTTGTGTCATGGATTCTTGTGCCTATTTCATGGATTTTTATACCTCTGGATTTTGGTTTGCCTTGAAGTTAACTAACCTTTGTTTTGGAACTTTACTTTTTTTGCTAATTTTACTGGGAAAGAGTTGCCTCAGTTGAGTCAACGTTGGAATTTCATGATGGTCTTGCTCTCAAGTGTTCTTTGCTTCATGTACCAAGTTTCTGCCAAGCTCCTGGTTTGTGTATCGGATTTTTCATGCTGCCTTGTTTCATGGATTCTTGTGCCTATTTCATGGATTTTTATACCTCTGGATTTTAGTTTGCCTTGAAGTTAACTAACCTTTGTTTTGGAACTTTACTTTTTTTGCTAATTTTACTGGGAAAGAGTTGCCTCAGTTGAGTCAACATTGGAATTTCATGACTGTCTCACTCTCAAGGTTTTTTTAGCTTCATGTACCAAGTTTTTGCCAAGCTCCTGGTTTGTGTATTGGATTTTTCATGCTGCCTTGTTTCATGGATTCTTGTGCCTATTTCATGGATATTTATACCTCTGGATTTTAGTTTGCCTTGAAGTTAACTAACCTTTGTTTTGGAACGTTACTTTTTTTGCTAATTTTACTGGGAAAGAGTTGCCTCAGTTGAGTCAACGTTGGAATTTCATGACGGTCTTGCTCTCAAGTGTTCTTTGCTTCATGTACCAAGTTTCTGCCAAGCTCCTGGTTTGTGTATCGGATTTTTCATGTTGCCTTGTGTCATGGATTCTTGTGCCTATTTCATGGATTTTTATACCTCTGGATTTTAGTTTGCCTTGAAGTTAACTAATCTTTGTTTTGGAACTTTACTTTTTTTGCTAATTTTACTGGGAAAGAGTTGCCTCAGTTGAGTCAACGTTGGAATTTCATGACTGTCTCACTCTCAAGTTTTTTCTCAAGTTTCTCTCAAGTTTTTTTAGCTTCATGTACCAAGTTTTTGCCAAGCTCCTGGTTTCTGTGTTGGATTTTTCATGCTGCCATACAGCCATTGCAAGAATCGGCCCCTCGACTTACCCAAGAAAAGTGATCTTGGTGCTCTTGCCTCTCTCTTTAGAAAAAAGTGGAAATCCATTTGGAGAGAATAAGAGCTCAGTGTGTGCCTTGCATTGCCAGTAACCAGCAGGAATGGCTCTGTATGGATGCCAACGTTTCAAGCTCAGGAGAGCTTAAAACATGACTTGGCCAACCAACAGAGAGAATGCTAAATCATCCAGAGAAGAGAAGAGGAAAGCCGATATAGATCTCGATCTTTCAGGCGGAGAGTTCTGGATCAGGTCCAGTGGAGGAGATAACTAATCTTGAACGGCCACATCCTTAATGAGTCCATTTTGTAGATACTTTTCTCACCCTCTCTGTTAGAGAACAAAGCATCATCTCTTCTACACACAATGATTTCTGGGCTGTCGGCGCTTGAATAATTTGTTTTAAAAACTCTGGCGTCTGGTGCCGACACCTACATCAATGACAAATTGAATTAGCATCTCCTTTCCCTGTTGTTGTTGTTTTTATTTCCCAAAGGAGGGGATGTTGTGAATGCCATTGACATGCTAAAATTGGTGCCCCCCTCCCCCCAGACTGAAAAAAAATGGCAATCAATGAGATGCAGAAGAATAAATAACTACCCAAACCAGCCGCAAATGTGCTTCCTCTACAGCCCTTCAATCCCCACTCGAAAAACATAAAGAGATTGAAAATCAATGTGTTGTCGAAGGCTTTCAACCGCATTGAGTCGCCGCCTCAGGCTGATAAATGCGGTATACAAATGGAGTAAATAAATAAATAAATTTCAAGGCCGGAATCATGGGGTTGCTGTGAGTTTTCTGTGCTGTTTGGCCACGTTCCAGAAGCATTCTCTCCTGATGTTTCACCCACATCTACGGCAGGCATTCTTAGAGGCTGTGATGTCTGTTAGAAACTAGGCAAGTGGGGTTTATATAGCTGTAGAATAATGTCAAGAGTGAGGGAAAAAACTCTTATCTGTTGGACACAATTGTGAATGTTGCAATTCGCCACCTTGGTTATTTATTTATTTAATTACTAGCTGTACCCGCCACACGTTGCTGTGGCCAAACTTCCCTCCCTCCTTCTTTCCTTCCTTCCCTCTTTCCTTCATTTCCTCTATTTCTTTCCCTTCCTATTTCTCTTCTTTCTTCCATCTCTACCTGTTTCTTTCCCCCTTCTTTGCTCTTTGGTTGCATCCTTCCTTCTCTCCTTCCTTCCTTCCTTCCTTCCTTCCTTCCTTCCTTCCTTCCTTCCTTCCTTCCTTCCCTGTCTTTTGTTCCTTCTCTCCTTCTTTCCCTCTCTTTTTCCTTTCACTTTTTTATTCCCTCTCCTTCCTCTATTTCTTTCCCTTCCATTTCTCTTCTTTCTTCCATCTCTACCTGTTTGTTTCTTTCCCCCCTTCTTTGCTCTTTGGTTGCATCCTTCCTTCTCTCCTTCCTTCCTTCCTTCCTTCCCTGTCTTTTGTTCCTTCTCTCCTTCTTTCCCTCTCTTTTTCCTTTCACTTTTTTATTTCCTTCTCTCCTTCCTTGCTTCTCTATCTTTCTTTCTTTCCTTTCTTTTTCCCTCCCTCCTTGTCTCCTTCCTTCCTTCCCCCTTTCCCTCCTTCATTCCTTCCCTCTTTCCCTCGTTACTTCTTGACTGTCCCTTCCATTTAATTTGTATTATATAGTAATAATATACAATAGTAACCTATTATATAGCAATCTAATATATTGTTATATAGATTGCTATATAATAGGTTACTATTGTATATTATTGTATATTTATTTATTTTATTTATTTATTTACTTTGCTTATATACCGCTGTATCTCAAGCCCGAAGGCGACTCACGGCGGTTCACAAACAGTAAAAACAGTAGAAACAGCAGTGGTTCCATACAACATATAACAATTGACTTAACACATTATCCATAAATTACCAATAAGCAGTTACAATGCACAATTATTACAAAAAACAACCGTACCCAATCTTCTCATCATCCAAGCGTATCCAGGTTCGTCGTCCATTGTTCCATTCCTATATTCCATTACCAGATTGCACTAAATTACTCAAACGCCTGCACAAACATCCAGGTCTTCACCTTTTTGCGGAATACCATTAGAGATGGTGCTAGTCTAATGTCCGTAGGAAGGGCGTTCCACAGCCAAGGAGCCACCACCGAGAAGGCCCTATCTCTCGTCCCCGCCAGCCGAGCTTGTGAGGCTGGCGGGATCGAGAGCAGGGCCTCCGCGGAAGATCTCAAAGTCCTGGTGGGTTCATAGGCCGAGATGCAGTCAGATAGGTAGCTTGGGCCGGAACCGTTTAGGGCTTTAAAGGCCAACGCCAGCACTTTGAATTGAGCCCGGTAGCATATCGGTAGCCAGTGGAGCTGGTGCAGCAGAGGAGTTGTATGCTCCCTGCGCCCCGCTCCTGTTAGTATCATGGCTGCCGCCCGTTGGACTAGTTGGAGCTTCCGGGCTGTCTTCAAAGGCAACCCCACGTAGAGAGTGTTGCAGTAGTCAAGACAGGATGTAACCAGAGCGTGGATTATTATTATTATTATTATTATTATTATTATTATTATTATTAGAAAGAAGGAAGGAAGAAGGAGGAAGGAGAAGGAAGGAAGGAGGAAAGGAAAGAAGGAGGAAAGGAGGAGGAAAAAGGAGGGAGGAAGGAAGGAAGAAGGAGGAAAGGAAGGAGTGGGTGAAGAAAGGAGGAGGAAGGAAATGAAGAAGGAAAGAAGGAGGAAAGGAGGGAGGAAGAGGAAGGGAAGGAAGGAAGGAAGAAGAAAGGGGAAGGAAGGAGGGAAGGAGGGAAAGAAGGAAGGAAGGAGGGAGGGAGGAAGGAGGAAGGAGGGAGGGAAAGGAAGGGGAAGGAAGAAAAAGAAAGAAAGGGAGGGAGGAAAGAAGGGAAAGGAGTCCTTTCGGGTGGAGTGTGGCAGAGGCAGCTACCTCCTGTGTGTGTGTGTTAAATGTGTGCTCGTGTTGCCAGAGACAGGCGAGCAGGTCAGACAGAAAGGAAAGAGTTAAAAAAGAAAGAAGGGTCTACAGAAAGTCCGCCCCCCACCCGCCGGCCTCTTCCAACAGGGAAAGGTGGAGGAGGAGGAGACCGCCCTCCTGGCAGAGCAGGGAAAGAGAAGGGGCTCCATGCGGCAAGCCTCCATTGCATATGAAACCATGAACATGAACACAATGCCAAAAATGCTGATTTTTGAGCCAAAAATACTTCTTTCTAAGCAAGATGGGCGAATTTTGTACACAAATGTCCCAAAGTGCAGAAATTCATATCTGTGGCAGATTTTTCTGTTCAAAGATTTTCAACCCTCAAAACCACATTTTGGTAATATTTTTAAAATACTCCTTCCATCCATTGGGTTTAGGCCAGGCATGGGCAAACTTTGGGCTTCCGGGTGTTTTGGACTTCAACTCCCACAATTCCTAACAGCCTACCAGCCCAAATCTAGATTAGGTCAATGTTATGCTTTCCAAACATCCGAAACCTTAAAAACACCACTTTACTCATTGTGATGATGTTTTCCTGACCTCAAAAACACATTCAGACAATCACCTTTTCCCAAGTAAGACCCAGAGTGTTTACACTCACCATGTGAAGCCAAACGTTGGTGGTTAACACCTGGTTTTTTTCATCCTGTCAAAGGAAAGGAAAGAAACAAATCAAGATTGGCATTATTTCCCCTCCAACAGAGCTGCAATGACTATAAGGAACAGCTGGGATTGATTTTGTCATTTGGGAGTTGTAGTTGCTGGGATTTATAGTTCACCTACAATCAAAGAGCATTCCGAACTCCACCAATGATGAAATTGAATCAAACTTGGCACACATAACTCAGTTGACCAACAGAAAATACTAAGACGGTTTGGTGGGCATTGACCTTGAGTTTTGGAGTTGTAGTTCACCTACATCCAGAGAGCACTGTGGACTCAAACAATGATGGATCTGGACCAAACTTGGAACAAATACTCAATCTGTCCAAATGTGAACACTGGTGGAATTTGGGGGAAATAGATCTTGGCATCTGGGAGATATAGTTTGAGGGATTTGTAGTTCACCTACAATAAAAGAGCATTCTGAAGCCCAGCAATGATAGAATTGGGCCAATTCTTCCCACACAGAACTCCCATGACCAACAGAAAATATAAGAAGGGCTTGGTGGACATTGATCTTCAGTTTGGAAGTTGTAGTTCACCTACATCCAGAGAGCACTGTGGACTCAAACAATGATGGATCTGGACCAAACTTGGAACAAATACTCAATCTGTCCCAATGTGAACACTGGTGGAATTTAGGGGAAATAGACCTTGAAATTTGGGAGTTGTTGTTGCTGGGATTCTGTACTCCAAAACTCAAGGTCATTGCCCACCAAACCCTTCCAGTATTTTCTGTTGGTCATGGGAGTTCTGTGTGCCACGTTTGGTTCAATTCCATTGTTGATGGAGTCAGAATGCTATTTGATTGTAGGTGAACTATAAATCCCAGCAACTACAACTCCCAAATGTCAAGGTTCTATTTTCCCCAAACTCCACTAGTGTTCACATTTGGGCATACTGAGTATTCGTGTAGTTTGGTCCAGATCCATTACTGAGTCCACAGTGCTCTTTGTATGTAGGTGAACTACAACTCCAGAATCAAAGGACACTGCCCACCAAACCCTTCCAGTATTTTCTGTTGGTCATGAGAGAACTGTGTGCCAAGTTTGGTTCAATTCCATCATTGGTGATGTTCAGAATGGTCTTTGATTGTAGGTAAACTATAAATCCCAGCAACCACAACTCCCAAATGCCAAGGTCTATTGACACTTGGGTATGTGGCATATTTGTGCAAAATTTGGTCCAGATCCATCACTGTTTGAGTCCACAGCACTCTGTGGATGTAGGTGAACTACAACTCCCAAAAGTCCAGGGTGGGAGAAGGAACTCTTTTGTACTTGACCCAAGTGTAAATGTTGCAAATGCCCACTTTGATTACCACTCAATAGCCTTGCAGCTTCAAACCCCGGCTTCTTCCTGCCTGCAGGAAACCTGGCCCAGACTGTTTCATGTCTGGAATTCCTCTGTTTTTCTGAGGGACACAGCAACGCAGCTAGTTCATGGTTTCACCACATCACTACCTGCCACTGATACTCATATTTTGCAAGTCCGTCAAGCCTACTTCTCTTTGCTTCCTCCCATAGCCAAAGTCAATCCATCACCAGCAAACCCCATCAGCCTTTGAGCCAAACAGTTATTTAACAACCTTGGTGGAAATGGACTTGTTCCCTCTGCCCTGCTCTCACCGCGGAGTCACTCATTAGTCATTATCGGTGTGGTTTCCTTGGAGGCTTTGTTAATAATGGCTTCATAAAGGTGTTGCTTGTTACCGCCGCAATTCTGGGCAAAGCCTCATCAATGTTAATGGCAAGGCTATTACTTGCAAGCCATACAAACATTTGTGTAATGCATCAGTCAAGCAGTGGCCTTTGAATAATAATAAAAAAGACAAGTACTGAAAGTCTTGCTTTGGGGGAGCGTTAATCCATTATTAAGCTTTGCACTGCAGAGATAAAATGATCTGGAAAGAGAAGACAGAAAAGATCTACCAAAAGACTAAAGAATATAAATTCTTGTCTATAAAGCTATTGTCCTCCCAACCCTGCTATATGCCTGTGAAACGTGGACTGTCTACAGACGTCACATGCAACTCCTAGAATGATTCCATCAACGCTGCTTCCAGAAAATCCTGCGAATCTCTTGGGAAGACAAACGGACAAACGTCAGCGTGTTGGAAGAAGCAAAGACCACCAGCATTGAAGCGATGATCTTCCATCAACTCCAGTGGACCGGCCATGTTGTCCGGATGCCTGACCACCATCTCCCAAAGCAGTTGCTCTACTCGAACTTAAGAACGGAAAACGGAACGTTGGTGGACAGGAAAAGAGATTTAAAGATGGGCTCAAAGCCAACCTTAAAAACTCTGGCATAGACACTGAGAACTGGGAAGCCCTGGCCCTTGAGCGCTCCAGCTGGAGGACAGCTGTGACTAGCAGTGCTGCAGAATTTGAGGAGGCACGAGTGGAGGGTGAAAGAGAGAAACGTGCCAGGAGGAAGGCGCGTCAAGCCAACCCCAAACACTCTCTGCTTCATTCGGGAAAATGCTGCACTTGCAGAGCTCAGGCGGTGTTGTATTTCGGTGTCGATGTTGACTTTGGTGGAGAGGTGGCTGCCAAGGGAGTGGAAATGGTCAACATTTTCTAATGTTACACCATTAAGCTGTATCTCTGGCATTGGGGAGGGGATGGCTGGTGACTGCTGGAACAGCACTTTGGTTTTCTCGATGTTCAGTGACAGGCCAAGCTTCGTATATGCTTCTGCATCGTAGATCTTCTTCTGTATGTGCACAGACGACATTGTCAATTGATTGTACCACCAAGTGTTTCACAATGACGTCCGAAAAGGCACGTGAGTATCTAAAAGTGCACAAAATCTCTCAGAATGAGATGCAATAAGAAGAAAAGTTCTGGAAATAATTTATTCTCACATGAGAGGTACTTGAGTAATCAAAGGCATAAAATTCTAATAATCCAACTTTGGGGTTTTTTTTTCCTGACTATCCTATACACTCATGGATAAGTTAGACATTTGTGTCAAAAGATCAACTCAAAAAACAAAACTCTTAGTGTGAGTTCTGTACTTCAACTCCTATCACAGTGTAGAATGACCCCCAACTCATTTCAAAATTCATAGAATCATAGAATCAAAGAGTTGGAAGAGACCTCATGGGCCATCCAGTCCAACCCCCTGCCAAGAAGCAGAAATATTGCATTCAAATCACCCCTGACAAATGGCCATCCAGCCTCTGTTTAAAAGCTTCCAAAGAAGGAGCCTCCACCACACTCCGGGGCAGAGAGTTCCACTGCTGAACGGCTCTCACAGTCAGGAAGTTCTTCCTCATGTTCAGATGGAATCTCCTCTCTTGTAGTTTGAAGGCATTGTTCCATTGCGTCCTAGTCTCCAAGGAAGCAGAAAACAAGCTTGCTCCCTCCTCTCTAGGCTCCCCCTCACATATTTATACATGGCTATCATATCTCCTCTCAGCCTTCTCTTCTTCAGGCTAAACATGCCCAGCTCCTTAAGCCGCTCCTCATAGGGCTTGTTCTCCAGACCCTTGATCATTTTAGTCGCCCTCCTCTGGACACATTCCAGCTTGTCAATATCTCTTTTGAATTGTGGTGCCCAGAATTGGACACAATATTCCAGATGTGGTCTAACCAAAGCAGAATAGAGGGGTAGCATGACTTCCCTAGATCTAGACACTATGCTCCTATTGATGCAGGCCAAAATCCCATTGGCTTTTTTTGCCGCCACATCACATTGTTGGCTCATGTTTAACTTGTTGTCCACGAGGACTCCAAGATCTTTTTCACACGTACTGCTCTCGAGCCAGGCATTGTCCCCCATTCTGTATCTTTGCATTTCGTTTTTTCTGCCAAAGTGGAGTATCTTGCATTTGTCACTGTTGAACTTCATTTTGTTAGTTTTGGCCATCATCTCTCCAATCTGTCAAGATCGTTTTGAATCCTGCTCCTGTCCTCTGGATATTGGCTATCCCTCCCAATTTGGTGTCGTCTGCAAACTTGATGATCCTGTTTGTGTCCTCGATTTACACATGAAGTCAACGTACACATGAGTATATACTGTATTAAACTAAATAGCCAATGTAAAATATCGGCAAATGCATTTCACAATCTGTGAAGTGTTAGTCATGTCTGTTGTAGTTCAGCCTGTGATTATGTCTGATGTCAATGGGGATAAAGGTTCTTCTAGCCCTGTGTCTGTTGTCAATGAGGATGAGGGTTTTGCTGGGCCAGAGTTAAGCTCAGGAAAGAGGCCTGAGCTGTCTGATGAAATGGGTGTTTTTCCTGCAGATGGACAAGGTCAAATTCCTGGGAACTTTCTCTGAGGATAATTTGTCAGGTGCAGAATTTAATGAGGATGAACTAGACTTTTGTAAATGGAGGCATAGTTCTCAGGCTCGAAGGAGGTCAATTCGTCTCCAGGAGAACAGAGATAAGGGCAAGTGAAATGCTTTCCTTTCATTTCAGGGGCCAGGAAAGGCTTTATATTGATACCAGGGAAAGTTTCACTTCAGTCTAATCAGTGTTGTTATTTCAAGACAGTCAAGTGGATTTATAGTTTCATGTTTCAAGTATTGCCAAGTTCCGGCTCTGTTCATTGAATTTCCATGCTGCCATGTTCTATGGATTCTTTGCATTTTTACCTTGTTACCTGGATGTTTATGAACTGACTTTTATCTTGGAATAACATTGCTTTGAACTATACTGTTTTTACCATTTTATTGCTTAGCTTAATAGTAAGGTAAAGGTTGTCCCCTGACATTAAGTCCAGTCATGTCTGACTCTGGGGTGTGATGCTCATCTCCATTTCTAATCCGAAGAGCCAGCATTGTCCATAGACACCTCCAAGTTCATGTGGCCAGCATGACTGCATGGAGCCCCGTTACTTTCCCGCTGGAGTATTGATCTACTCACATTTGCATGTTATCAAACTGCTAGATTGGCAGAAGCTAGGGCTGACAGTGTAAGCTCACGCCGCTCCCCAGAATTGAACCTGCGAGCTTTCGGTCAACAAGGT